TTACACCGCGTGGATATTTCATGTAGATTTTTGCTTTAAAAATCTAGATTCTAAGGCCGTAAGAAATCCTCTTTTTTTTTCTCGTGATGTAGACGCGCCACGCCATTCATTTACTTCTCTCGAGCCAACGAGGAGTCTCTCATATAACAGCGTCGTATAACAGGTCGAGTGATTTCACGCTCCTTCAACTACGAACGGGACGCGAGGATAAATTAACAGGCGATGTAAAAAGATATTATAGAAAAGGCGATGAAAAAATATGACAGGCAAAAAATGACGTCGAAAATTTCGCCAGGATGCAGGTGCGAAAATGTAATACATTTCCGTTATATTTGGCGAGATAATACAAAAGCGGTCCGAAAGTCTCGCCAGGGGAAATTTTCACGTACATCTAGGGATTGCACATCATTCGTATGTTTCACGGATCCTTGCATGCGAAATTGTTCTCTCGGCGAATCAAATTCTTGACACTACAAAAATAGGAAAGCTTGACAGTGCCCGATTGAATACGTGTCTTGTAACACTTATTGCGAACGATACGTTACAGCGGATACTATACGTAAAATTATTATTCTATCTGTTGCCACATGCCGCAACTTAACGAAATATTTACTATTTACTATTTTGTTATACAGTAGATATTCGTGGGAAATTCAACAGACCAAAGTGACGCAAAAATCGCGATTTGTCCGTATGAAAAATTTAGTGAAACCGGAATTTTACGGCATATAATTAATACAGGTATTCGTGAAACAGTAATATCGAATCGAATATTACTAGCGAAGCATTTATAGGGGGATTAAACGTTAATGAGCATGACGGTCTCTATCTATATATTAATCGGATCGACTCAAAATATGGATCGGAGATATCGCCGATATTGACACGACATTTCAGTGACTCTCACTAATTGCTACCTATATACCAGGGGCTCTCGTTAAAGCCACAAAGTCGACCAATGTGGATGCCAGCGTAAAATGGATGACTGGTCGCCAAAGCGCGAGAGAAAGAAGCGAGAGAGGGAGACAGAGAAAGAGTGTCAAACGTTTCCTCGTAATTATAAAAGCAAAGTGGAACCGACACGCTCGCGTGACAGTTTTATCTTCCAGCCTCTTCATCGTTCATATATCAATTTGTGATTCAAAGCTTACAACGGTCGCGTACACAAAGAAGAACAATTTTTTTTCACAGCTTCATCCCTTTCTCTCCTACTTGCCGACAATGTGTCAGCTCGGTACGCCAAACCCTATCCGAGTGGTACTTCACCCTATGAGCGAGATCAAAAATGGACGGCAGATAATTTAATTTTCAGTGTAAACGCTCGTGTTTTCCTTCTTATTAGCGGTCGTGATACCGAACGTCACGGTAACGGCGCATTTATGCAACTGATCAGTACTCGTACACGTGCTGAAACGTTACATTTTTCAAATCGTCGAGATCGAGCCATTAAAAGTTTTATTGAAATTTCGTATCTCTGATGGGTACCGTAAATGCGCTCGATGTAACATTAGACTTGAACAGGACTGCCTTTCTATTTTCGCATATCAAACTGTTTCATGCATAATTTTCAAGCGTTCACACTTAAATAAGTCAATTTTATCATCGGAAAATCATTGAATTTAGATTGACTTGTTTTACCCAACAGCCTGCATTATTCCGCTCCACCCAATTTACTCCTTCAGGATAGACATTTTTTCCCCGAGAGAATACAGTAAATTCTCGAAAAGTGTGCATAAACGCAAATTCGTAAAGAAAATGCAACGGGATAACTTCTAGAAAGTTGGCATTCTTCCTTTGGAATCTCAATTGATAAAATTCTTGAAAAAGAGTTCTAACGATTAAATGCTAAAAATGGGAATCCGACCTTTATGTTTCGAATAAGAAATTGATCATAATTTCCCTATCTCAGTCGGAATCGATTCGGGTCGCTTTTCTTTTCGAAAAAAAAACTTTGAAAATGTTATCTAGAATTCTCGAGAGAAAGTATTGGGTCAAAACGGTGTCTAAAATATACTTAAGGATTCATCGGAGCCGTTTAACCCGGAAGGAAACGACTTTCCAACGGAGATCTAAATACTTGGCGGAGTTTTCAATCGGGATGTTGAAGATTACGGTAAAGAGGAGAGCAATGCCTCCCCCTGAGGTGGGGTGTTTCCGATGCTGTATATTTCACGCGGTTAGAGTTTCGTGTTGAAGCTGGATTAAGCTGAACCCTGACCTATACTCTGACTAAAGCCAGAGTTCGTTTCGGCGCGAGTATGCTCGCCGACTGAAATATTCACCGCTCGTCCGTTTCCGCTCTCTCTTTCCTTCTGCTTCTCTCTCCCCTACGATCACGACCCTGTACTCTTCTTGCGAACTTTTACACGCATGTACTCATATCCACGTGTTCTCCTTTGGACAATAAAAGACCATAAAGAGAAAGGAAACACGACTCACTGTAAATCGAGAAAAAGTTTGCTGTTGCTGATTCAATATTTTGCGTCTTACTTAGCTGTTGTCTAAGTAACATGACGGATTTGCAAACAACTGAGAACTGAAACGTCCAATGCGATATCTACTTTGGCTCTTTTTGAGGAGAAATTAATGAAAAAAATGGATCCGAGAGTCGTAAACGTTAAATATAGATCTGGTTTAATCACAGATTAATTATCACAATTTCCTTGAAAACGACAAACTTTCTTCATTTTCTGTCGTTTCTCGATACAGTAAACATTACGGATGACGTACAACTAGAAATTCCGAACTCGGTAACGTCAAAGTATACTCGATGATACCATATCGAGCCGAGAGGCACGCGTTATAACAGGCGTTATACCAATCCATTACCGAAGTGTCGCGGCTTCGATACACCGTTAGCGTAGATAGCTAAGGTTCTCTCTCTATTCCGCGGTCCAAATAGCGACAAGCAACTTGGTGAAAGTTGCGATATGGACGTGACGGATGAAATATTTGATTTTTATTGTGGTGATTTACGTGTGTAGCGGAATGAAATGCACCATCGTGCGTTCTGGCGACTCTCACGAGTTTGTAAACCGCTCGTTGACGGGACGCACCATAAACATATCAATTGCAGCTAACGCTCTATGTATTCTCCTGAAATGGCTGGTCTACTCTAGATTTAAAACGTTAGTTGTAGAATTATAAAATTGCGAAGCGCGTAACAAAAGTGCGCACTTATCGTCGAATCGAACGTCGCGTTAAATGAGATTATAACGGCATAGATTATAACTCGTTAGAACTTTGCCGTCGTTTTGACGTGCTCCCGCATAATTGATACGGAGCTGTGTGCCCGCGCGCGACTGGAAAACCGTAACTCTTCGCGTTAAGCGCATTAACGTGACGTGTTTTTTTCCCCCGCCAAAATATAGCAAATATTCCAAGTGGATAGGCGAATCCATAAAACGTCACGCGCGTGCACACACCGAGGGATTTTGCGAAAAAAAAAACCTAAATTTCCGCGCGGAAAATGCGCCCGCAACGACTAGCGCGTGAGACGCGAGAGACATTTAATTTTTTTCATCGAAAATATTTAATTTTTCCCGGCACGACAAAATTTACTTAAAATGGAATATCGCATGCGTACGCGGCCATACATACGACGCATGATGCGCTTGTGAATAACTAATCCCACGGTTGGTGCAATAACAGACGCAAAAAGGGGACCGCGAGAGCGTGAAACGAGAGAAGGTGGAACGGGGCGAGCAAAACGCGGAGATAAAATTGAAGGAAAACGAAGAACTGGGATTATGCAGAACGCGGTCACGAAAAAGAGGGGAGGGGAAGAGAGAGAGAGAGAGAAATGCTAATCTTTCGACTCGTCATCCAGTGCATTCACTGACGAATTGCACCTCGAACCTTTAAACGCGTGCCCTGCATCGCGTATTCTAATAAAAAAATATCAGCAGTGTAGCAAACTAGGTACAAACAAAAAAAATAGAGATTAGCGGATATCGATACGTTTGCAACGAAACAAACGATAAAAGGTATTGCAGTACACGTGAAACGGCAAAATTGAACGTTTTATGGAGCCAATTATTTTTGTTCCGAAAAAGCATATTGATTCAATTGATAATAAATTAATAATAAAAGTTAATACGCATTCCTATGTTACCGTATTTTTACGTTTGTGTATGTGTATTTTTTTAAATACAAATAGTAAATTCCATTCGCACTGTCCTCGTAAAATGCGTATACGGTTTACGATACACGCCCTGGATTTTTAACAATTTCGAGACACCGCGGGGAGTAACTTGGCGAGGCAATGCTCCCGAGATGCATAAATCCGCTTTTAAGGAGTACGCTATTCCGCCAAGTACATTATAATCGCAGGTGCATAAATTCACTTTGACCAAACGTGCTCGAATGCAGCTGAGTGCCTCATTACAATATTAGAATGCGCATGGTAACATCGACCTATCCGCGTTACGCCTGAGCTACGTACGATCGATTTTATGTCGAGCTATAGCTGATTTCGACTGCCGTCGAATCCGATAATCCTATCCATTGACGAGCCATTACGCGGAACATGTCTTTGCCGTGGGCAATTATTTCAATGAAATCATGGAAACGCATACACCCGAATGAAAGTGGGATAATTAACGATCATTCGATTTAATTCGACGCATCTGTTTCACTCGAAGGCGAAACGTACACAGGCGCGAAATCGTAATTTAAGGTACTACCGAAATATCGAATACAGAAAAGTTATTGAAAAGCGATTTCCGATTGAAACGGTATTATTCAAACGGTTTCACGCGTCGTTTAACGATAGACTTTGATGCATCGAGTTACAACAGCTCGAAACGTCGCTTACAGCTTCTGTCTTTGCGGTCAGCTTCGATATGTCGCGCGTCCTACACTATTGCGATTGACGGACGACCGCAACAGCATCGCCGCAATCACTAAATGCAAAACCGATGGGTGCTCCGTCCCCGTCCCGCCAAATTCGGGCCCCTCGCGTTTCTACCGGCTAATCCGTTTTGGCGTGCAAATTGCAGCCGACGTGCCGCACAGGCGTGTGACACGTTGCGATTCTTCGCGAAGCAGCCGCCACGTTAATCGAACGCGTGAGTTTCGCCACGTGATGCAAAGACAACGTGAGAGTCGGCCGGCGACAGTCTTAGGGGTGGACAGGCAGGTGAGTGTACTCGAAATACCACGTTAAACTGCTGCAATGACTCGGCGTCGATAAATAATTAAATCAACGAGAAACGCGATTAAAATTATATTAAACGTCGCGAAATATTTTCCGCTAAAAAGATTTCAGCTTTGTATCGTTTACCCCGCAGTTTACGCGGATAATTCAGTTTAATGTATATAAATATCCAAGTATTTAATATTAAAAATTAAAAATTACGCGTTTAATTATCGTTTTGCCCTCTTTAGGAGGAGATTCTCGCTCCAAGAACACAATTAAGAATTTCAAGTGGAACAACTAGACGGATAGTCGGACCCCGTTCGTATTCCCGCATAGACCGAGTGTGACCTGTCACCGTTGTCGTCATGCGACTTGCCATCGGCGCAGTAGCCATCGCGAAAGTTGTTCGGAGACGGAAACGAGCGGTCGAGAGACGAATCCAAAGTCACTCCTGAAGAGGAACGAGCCTCGAGGGGTGCTCCGGAATATTTGACAACATGTTTCCCTAGACGGTCGTCGGAGAGGAATCTTGCCAAGATACATACGTACGTGCATATGTGTACGTCTTAGGATTTGCCGCACCATCTGGCCAAGCGAGCTTGCTCCGCAGCATAAATAACGCAGCTCCCTTCATCGAGCGAGTAGAATTACATTTTATTCTATGATACGTTGTCATTGAAATATTCATTGTTTTATCTTAAAAGTTTTCAAACATCTCTGTGAAAGAATCTCGCACACGGAGATAATTTTCTCCTAAAATTTACCCTGAAAATCATCCATACTAGCGAAATGTATAGTAAAATTTCACAAAACTCTGATAAAATTCTCCGAAATGCCATGTCGTCCCACGAATACATGATTTTCAACACTAATGGCCAATACAAGTGTATCATATATGTTACGTGGCGACAATTCAGACAATCTTTACGCAAATTGTTTCTATTTGCCGGAAACCCAGCGCATTTTTCACGAAATGCGCCTTTCGTGCGTCAGCGAATTCTGCCACGTTTCGCGAAACATACCAACGTCCAACGAGAGTTCTAATGTCTCTACCGGTTTTCATTTGTGCTGCAACTTTTCGCAAAAAGAGATACTTGTTGGGTCAAAACTTTAGGAAAAACCAAAATATATTAATGACTCGACTGCACCATCGATCTTACTTCAATAGACGTACGTCTGTCGCCGAACGTTAACGTGAGCAAATCGTAAACCTCAGCGAAACGAAATTTAACCAAAGTGCAGATCAGAATGTAATTTAGCACGTAGCGAAAGATGCAAATATTCTTTAATGTCATTAAGGCGACAGCGATAATAACGATGTGTTGTTGAGCTAACGGGATGACAGGCGCTGCTTTCCTTACCGGAAGGCATTCACCGTGCCAATCTAATGTCCTTGAAGCACGATAAGCATGCTCGTGCTGTTTAGGGCCACGAAATAACTTGAACTGCGCGAGCAAAGATATAAATGCCGGAACACCGTCTAAAGCACAATTAGCCAAGTTGGTATGGGAGCGGAGCGCATCCGAAGTTGAGCCGGGTGTTCCAAGGACTTAGCCGTTTCGCTGTCCGAAATAATAGCTGCAATGACATACATAGCTGCGCGAGATGCGCGCCAAGTGCATGAAAATTCATCGACGAGCCGCGCGACTAGCGTTGCAACGCGAGAAACGCGAAACTACGATGGCGCGGAGAATGCGCCGAGTGAAATCTCTCTCTCTCTCTTTTTTTTTCCTTTTTTGGCTCTTTTTACTCCGACTCCGACGTTGAGATTTTCGCCGCGGAGAGAAATGTGAGACCGGCTTGATGCATTTCGTTACAGCGCGGGAGATTCAGTTAGCGTTTCTTGGTTGGGTCCTCTTTTTATTTTTGTACTTTACGGCGCGATCTCGAACGCTACGTGGCTACGGCCGTGTAATATCGTTTAATATCGCACAAGCGTTTCGCTTCGTACGCCAGCGAGCGCGCATTTCATTAACACGACCCGCGATAAGACATTACTGGAGGAGAATAGTTTTTATTTTATCATTTTCGGCTCGTAACGACGCCCTATCGTGGAAAGACGATTTCACTCAAGGCACTATCGATGTAACAACCCGTTATCTCGGCACAAATCGGATCGCTCGCTAATGTTAATGCGCCGAGAGCACGATAAGCGCATGCCTCGAAAATGCGCTTAGCGAGGGACATTTTACGCAATTCGCGGCACACAAATGTTCAACTGGGCGTCTCTAACTCGATATTTCTATATCTGTTTCGTACCGCGTAATGCGGGCAAAAAGTTAGGTTGTTATCACAAGTTATGCACATTGTACGCATGAATCTTTTATACGATAGTCCGGAGTCGTTGGAAATGCTTCCGTATTATTCAGCGAGAAGAGAATACATTTTTTACAGAGTATATTCAAAACTGTCGAGCCGAGCGTGAAATTTCGAATAAAGTGTTACACTTTGAATGATCGCATTGTCCGAGCGCAGAATCTCGATGAAAAGTAATACATTATGCGATCCTTTCTACATTTTGTATCTGTACACGTATATAGAGACATGCGGACTGTACGAAAATATGCGGCCAATAAACGGGCTTGAAAAGCGCAATGAACGAAATTGAACGAAACGATTGGAACGAACGATGTAGGTGAGAGCCGAATATATATCGAAAGGATTAATTCATTTTGCTTGAGGCTGTCGTTGAACGCAGGGTTAGTGTCAAATCTCGCGTTTCGTACGTTTGAGTGAATTTTATTCGATCTACCTTTTCTCCATCGGGATACGCGACTCTCAATCTCTGAAATATCACTGATTCTATCGCGTATAAATGATCCTTATTCGCGGAGCTGCAATCAAGTTGAAGCGGAGCCACGTTTCTTTTACGCAACACGGCACTGACTACGCTCTCTCAATTCAAATCATAAAGTTCGTAAGAGACGACCGTCTGTAACTGTCGAGCAAACGGTTGCTCGTGAACCGCGTGCGCAACGGCGCTCAATTTGGAGATTGGTGTCCATTGGAATTGGAAATGAAATTTCGTAGACGTACGAATAGGGGCGAGCACAGGCGTGGCAACACGTTACGGCCAGAGAAGGTAAAGCGCGAGAAATGTACCGTGCGCGCCATCGATTTTGCGATTGTCGATTTATGTTTACGGGTCCACCTTCGGTACACGGTAAACGATATCGCATCGGCAAAAAGAAACTCCCGCCCCATTGTCATTGTCACCGTACAAAGTGCACCATAAACGATAGATTCACAATAATTACAGACAAATATTTTACGTTTATTTTTAGCTTTCTCTTAAGAAATTATTATTTTCGTGGAGTGTACTAACTCGTGCTAGCAAGAAACTTATCAAGATATCTTTTCTCCATTTCTAATGCCGATACTGATTGGCTGTCTCGCTTGTGCGATACGACATACTTCAGTCGTGTTATTTGCAGCTGTCAAACCATGCGAATTTTTAGAGAGAGCAAATGGCGCGCGCTTGTCCCTTACTAAAAAAGAGATGTTACCAGCGCGAATGTCGTTAATATCGAACAGTTAAGGCCCTTCTCCGCGATGCCGATTGATCTTCTCGAAGCGCGATGTGCTTCACTTCTCTTTTAAATTCAGAGTAAATGAAGGTTTACAATTTAGAAAAACTAGACATGACAGAACGCGCGCTTCGCGCGCGCTGTTTGTGGTCAAGCATTGTGTATTTTTAAGAATTTGCACACACGCGAA